TACATTAGAACAAAGGTTTAGTGCTTCTTTTACTGTCAACAAGAATCAGTTTGTACTATCGAACACCTAAACTTTGTAAATCAATTTTTCTTCAGCCTTCTGTGACCGTTATTAACTGTCATTATCAGAAAACACTTCAGTAATATTTATTAGAAACAATTGATACATAAAGCTTAGCTCTTAACTAAATAAAATTCGGCGACTTTTAGTAAATAAAAAGGCACCTGTTTTTCTTTAGCTGCGTAATTCATTTCATTTCAAGTACAAAATCACAAGAAAAATTTGTACGTTCTGGAATATTGAAAATTACCTGTAGGTATACAATCGAGACACGCGATCGACGCTATCAACGTACAATCGGTCAGCGTCAGGGCCTCTCTTTCAAGGACGCAAAAATGATCAATCGCCGTTACTGCAAGAGTAACTTTTTTTTGCAATAACGCAGCCAAGGATGGTAAGAGTAATTTAAAGGCAAGCATTTTGTATGGACTTCTAGCATTTTGTATGGACTTCTCTGCGAAGACCAGGCGACCACCCAGGAAAACCGCAAATCCTTTCAAGGAGTCGACTCGACAGCGAGTGAAAACTGAGGAAGGATGGGAGAATCTTGAAACACAAAAATGCATAAAAGTGCAGAAAAGCATGAACCATGAACTTATAATTAAATGCCTAAGAAATGTGCATTGAAAAGCATGACTTGCATAGAAGACTTTTAGACTGCGTTGCAGATTGGTATGAGTTATGCCAGGTCCTTCGATCCTCGTTTGCATGCCACCAGTTAGTACCCACGACCTGTTCGTTATATATGCACCACTTGTTCGGAGGCCACTTGAGTGGTTGCTTAGATTGCATTAATCGAATTGTATTGTTCAGATGGATTACACATATTAAATCATATCAGACGAAGCTATAAATTACATGTGCAAATTTGTATGTGCTGCAGATGTATGTCTGAGAGCGGTGGTTTGTTATAATGGTGGTTACACGGATCCGAATAACTGCAACCAGTGTAAATGTCCATCGGGATTTGGTGGAGAAAATTGCAGTGCAGTTCAAAAAAGCGGTTATTCTTAATTCTACTTAACGGCATTTTTTAAAAATTGGGGTTGCTATGATCGTCTAAGCGACTCACGTTAAATTCTTGTGCTTTCTTGGATGAGCCCATATGTTTAGCG